TTCAAGTTCAAACTTTTCTTTTTAAAATTTAAGAACTCTCTCAGACGCCCATTATCGCGTTCCGTTTACTTTCCATTCTTGCTCTCCCTCCTCTCGTCATCTCACAATTCTAACATATCCAAATTCATTAATTATAAAGTCACATTAATCTTTAATTCTCCAATCTCTTGTCCTTTCTCCGTTTCTTCCTTTGGCTGTTCAAGCCACTCGACTGCATCGTCGAGCTTTCTCTCCTTGTCCTTGGCTATCGACTCGGTCGAACTCTTCGAACTACTTACGCTCTCTTACCTGGTACCTCCACAAACAAAACTACACGAATACATCATCGAACAAGTACCTCTCAGCAACATCATCAAGGGGACGACTAGACGATAGTCGGTCTTAACACTCTCGACAACAGTTGCCTATTATTGCTCTCGATTGGCAGAGAGAAACTAAAAGGGCAGCACCAATCAAGAGGCCATGTCAACATTCTCGTCTCTTAATAGAGTACACCGTCTTTGCCAACACGACTGGACGAGCGCGGAGGGTACCTTTCACTAAAAATTCAAACACTGCATTCATTACTCCCCCCTCTTTACAAATACTTAACAAAGCCCTCCCGTAATTATCTTATCCTTCCCCCCCAACTACAGCACTTTCAATATTCAATTTTGCCGTGTCGAGACCCTGGAGCAATTACCACTCTTTACCACGGCAGACACTCGCACAGCTTCTATCGTAACTCCTCTTTCCACTTTCGAATCATCAACACGGCTCTGCTATACCGTGCGAGACCCTCGGCACGGCTTCTATGTATAGTTGCATAGTTCTAGAAGTCTCAAAATAGTTCAGCGGGACAGGCTGCCTATCCGAAACAATACGTCTCGCCTGTCAGAAATCACTACAACGCAGCGGACAGCGACAATATTCACAAAGACAGCGATAATAGCATACCGCCGCGTTGGCTCTCGCCGTATCTTTTCAAGCGGACGACGTTGCCGTCGACGGTGGACGCAGCCAGCGGCCCAGGCTATCTGGCTTTTCGCTTCACCAGCACCAGCCAGAGTGTCGCTCGAGCAGGTCGCCGAGACTTTGGGCTGGAAGAAACAGTAACGAACCAAAGGATACACATCTTTGGTACTCTGATACTCTACATCGACAGAGTCGTCCGAACTTCCACCTAGCAAGCAGCGCAGACCACGAGCGCTTGTCCACGCTCGATCATCCAGAAGGCGGTGGCGGGTGCCCGCCGCCCCATCGTCAGGACTCGTGTTCTCGGCCATCCAGTGCCATTCCCCGAGCAGAGACAGCCACCGTGGATATCACTTCCCTTCTCCAACGTTCCGACTCTAAAGAGTCTCGCGTGTCGCCATCCCAACAACAGAACGAACCACAGCAAACACAGGAGCAGACACCACTGCCTCCATCACAGCGACAACGAGACCAGCAACAGTCTCAAGTGCCATCTGCGCTGCTACCTGTGCAGTACCTCTTTCAAGCAAACCAAGACCAGCCACGATCCTCTTCGCTTCCGCCTCCGCAGTCCTTTCAGTCGGCCTCCGCAGTCTCGTCTACACCGTCGCCAGCCTCGGCTCCGGGAAGCCACCCTTTTCCTCCTTTCACAGTATCAGTTCCGGCGACAACAGCAGAAGCGGTACAAGTCTCACTTCCTCCAGCTCCACTCCCCTCCTTTACTGGTCAAACCGCACCACCGAAGGGGGGGCCAGGTCTGTCCGCGGCTAGAATAGCAAAGCGAAGCATGCCACCTTACACAATAGACAGCCCCGCGAAGAAGCAGAGCAAATGGTCGGCAGAAGAGGACGCATTGATCATCGAGCTGCGAGGCAGCGGCATGAAATGGGAAGACATCTCGAAACGGCTACCCGGACGCAGTGCCATCAGCTGCAGACTACATTACCAGAACTATCTCGAACGGCGGAGCGAGTGGGACGAAGAGAGGAAGAACAAGCTGGCAAGGCTCTACGAAAGGTGAGCCGGAAAATGGGAATATTGTGGGCTTACAGACACGAACTAACCGCGGAGTTTTAGATTCAAACCCGACATGTGGGCGAAAGTGGCTGAAGAGATGCAGGTGCCCTGGCGTGCAGCAGAGGCCATGCATTGGCAACTAGGAGAGGCTGACATGGCGCGGCGGGCAGGTGTTACTCCTTTCTCCCTGACGGCAACCACTGTCGAAACATCCACTCCTGGACACCACCACCAGTCGCCGTCTCAGATGTCCTACCAGCAACATCCGCTAGCCATCGCTCATCACCACTCACAGGGCGGTTTCCGAACAGACACGGGCAGTGCCGGGGGTAGCATCAGCAGCGGTGCGCCTTCACCTCGGTATGGACGCGGTAGCGGTGGCAACCCTTCAATACCCTTACCGCCACCTCCACCCATGTCCATACATGCCGACCGCCTTGTCACCGGCTTCGGAGGGAGCAGCAGCAGCTCGGGTCGCGGCTTTGGGTCGTCTGGGCGGCGCGAACGAGGCGGCACACCAGTCCGTGGTGGTGGTTCGTTTGGCGGCGGGCCATCTGATCCTGCCAACGCCATGTATCATTACCACCAACACCATCCACAACAACAACAACAACAACATGCGGGTCCCGGACTGCCGCCAATTCAAACAGGTGTTGGACCGCCCCCTTTGCAGCAACAAGAACGATCAGGCGGCAGCGGCACGTTGCCCAGTTTTGCGGAGATTACGACTGGGGTCAGCCCATACAGCACGCCAGCCTATTCCCTTGGAGCCAGCCCTGCTCCAAGCAATACGGACAGCCCCGGGCCAGGCTCTGGTCATGGCTTGTCCGGTTATACGACAGGAGGCTATTGGGCTGGCCCAGGCCCGGAGCCTCCGACGTCCGCTGGGGCTGCTGGGAAGCGCCGTGCTAGTCCCAACTTTGAGCCACGCGATCACCGCAGACGATACCTCCAGTCGCCCCGGTACGACGATGGCCGGGGTGGAGGCCCCCCTGACAGTGGCATTCACAGAGGGTGAAAGCAAGCGATTAATGACTTGACGATTTTCATTTCACTTTTCCTTCTCGTTTCTTTTTGTTTCGTCTCTTGTTTTTCATCTCAACTCGTTTGGGACCACAACAATATGGCAAGGATACAGGCGCAACATCTGGCCAATTGCATGGGTCTGTTTTGTTTATTGCGAAATCGGCCATAGACGTGCGTTTCCATCATCTCTCCGTCACAGAGCCCAAGGGCGTGCGCCAGGAAGTACAGTGTCATTTGTTTCTGCTGTTTTGTTTTGTCCTTTCTCTTTTACTCTGTCTATCTTTATCTAGAGCAAAAGCAGGGCATGAGCTGGAGTCAGGGGGGTGAAAGATAAAGGTCGGGGCCTTCTGATAGCGAACAGGATTTGGGGTGCATACACAAAAACGAATGTCATATACATGGCAGGTGTGTGAATAGGTGTTCGGGGGCGGGCTCTAGAAGCGGTCTACATTTCCAGGTATTGTTTTCTTAAGTTGCTTTGTTTTCTTTTTTGTTTCTTTTGCAGTCTTGTTCTTATTTGCGTTTGATTTCTCTGCCCTCGACCTTCATCGACTTCCTTTCTTATTCCCCTTCGTTTTCCGTTGTTTTGTTAGCGGCCAAGATACTTTCTTTCTCAGTACTGTGGTTCTGTATTGGAGGCGAAGTGACGATTATGTTCCAACGGCCTTTGCATTAACCTTGCTACTGTTTTTCTCCTACTTTGTTTTCATTATGATACTGGCATCCTGGAAGGACGGCCGACGACTGCCGATACATTTCATCCTATTATAGCGTTTTTTATATCCCCTGCTGTTCCAATTATTTGTTCGAGACGTGTCGTCTACATTGCTAGTACATCTCGTTTTAGTTTTCGACCAGCGTATAACGATTTATCCCGAGCATAACAAAAAAGAAAACCAAGGAGCGTTTATTCATTTCCTCTTGCGTACATGATAGCATACTGCTGGGATTCAGCCTTGTCTTGCAGCTATTTTCAGCTGAGCGACTGTCTGTCCCTTTTCCGCCTTTCTTTTGTTTTCTTGTTTCATTTTTAAAGAACACAGCGAGCGGGAAAATGAGTTCAGGAATGCAGTCTTGAGTATCAGGCAACCATTCTAGCAAAACACCTCTGCACAACTAAAATTTTTGGGTGGGATGAAGCTGACAAAATTGCGCCGTGCGTTCGGTTTAGGACAGGGTATGTGCGTAAAACAGAAAATCCAAAAAGAAAGCATTAAACATCAAAAGCTGAACGCCGCCATGCCCCCTCACTCTTCTCCAACCACTTAAACTCCAGGTACTAGTAAGGCTGAAAAATATGAAAAGATACCACGAGCCGTAGCGAAAAAAAAAAAGAAGCAAGTGACGGTGTAGGAAGAAAATGGACAACAGCTACTGCGGAAACAAAAAGAATATGAAGGAATATGCATGAGCAAGAGGAACTAAACGAAAAGAAGACAAATAAAAAAGGGGGACTCAGTAGACAACAAAAAGCGTAATAATCGAGTTGATCTGTTGACAAGAGAGCTATATCGCAGTCAGATATAGGGGTGTGTGAAGGCATATGTTTGCTGTCCTGTCCTGTTGGGTTCTCGAGACGGAGCATATTTGCTTTTTTGGTGAAAATATACATGTTCTGAAACTCCTGGCTTCTGCATAACTATTCGACCGTTTGCAGGTGCACACAAATAATACGGTATTTGAATATCGCCATGTCGGCCGCACGCCTGCTCTGTGGTCTTTATTGTGTTGTATCGTATGCTTCCTCGTGCCTCCTTGCTGTTTTATTATTATTATTATTATTTTTTGCGTCCGCTTTCGTATCCTGTTCCTAGAACCATGCAATGCCGTCGGTCTATGCAGGCTGGTTGCACTTTATTTGCACATTTGTCCTGCATTGAGACACAGTGATATAATCTTGTTGCCAAGGCATAACAACGAACCACAGCCCACCATTCACTCCCACCCGTCATGCCCTGCACCAGAACAGGATAAAGGGGGGGGGGGGGCATCTAGCCCAAGTGTCATAAGGGATCGGCCACCACCCACCAGTTGTCCTTTTCATACCCGCACGCTACTACGTGGCCGCCAGCGGCTGCCACGTCGTCCTCCAGTTCGCCCTGTTTGTAGAGATGATAGTAGCGGTGGAACGTCGGCGGCACATGGGGCTGTTGGGCCTCTCGATCCGTCGTTACCCCTTGTTCGTCTTTGTTGTCGACCCCTGCCTGCTGCTCCTTCTCCTCGTGCATCTTCTTGCCGCCCTTACCCTTGACCTTGCTCTGGTTCTTATCCCGCATCGTCTTGACCCACGGCACAAGTAGGTCCTGCTCGCCGCCTGCGGTCCAACCTCGTCGACTCGTCGCCTGCTCCAGGGCCCATACGTAGATGAGCACACGGCCGGACCGAGAGGCTGAGAGTGAGGGCGAAGCAGAGGAGGCCGTCGAGGACGGTGCGGTGGGGGAGGGCGAGGGGGGCAAAAAAGAGGGGGCAGGGGTGCCGGGAGTCGTGGAACTTGGTGCCGGCGGCTGCGGCTGTCGCTGCTGCGGTTCTGGCTGCTGCACCGGGTCCTGCTGCACGTCTCGCTGCCGCACACACCGTAGCAGCTCTTTCACAGCGGCCTGGCGCCGTTTCCGCGTCGACAGGTGGTGCACCACGGCTATGCAGATGATGAAATCCGCACAGCCGTCACGAAAGGGCAGTGCCAGGGAGTCGGCCAGCAGCACATCAGCACCTACGCGGTGGTGGGCGTGTTTCTCGTACGCCAACGCGGCTAGGGCGGCGCTCCGATCACTCCCCAGGATGAAGCGCTGGGGTGTGCCAGGAATCGGTGGTGGCAATGACGACGGCGGCGGTGCGCTGGACGCACCACTCAGGTACTTGCCGTTGCCACAGCCGACGTCGAGACCGATGGAGCCAGCCGGCTGGCGGGCAAGAAACTGGGCTACCAACGGCCAGGGCGAATAGCGGGTGGCTGAGAAATGGTCTGCAATGGCATCGTACACTTCGTGAACGTGCGTCTGTTCATAAAGCGAGGCGTCGTCCACGCTGGCCTCAAGATCGACCGGGTTTGACGGTCGCATACTTTCTGCTATGCCTTTGTTTCCTGCCCCTTCGCTGGGTTGCATTCTTGGTGCTGGGCCGGGTTCGCCGCTTGAGGATAGCTGTTTTGCCTGAGCGTCGAGTGCGTTTAGTGTGACGACGATGGGGTGGTGATAGTAAATAACAGCGCGTGATAAAATAATAATAAAAAAACGTGCTCGAGAGTGGTCCGTTCCCAGCCCCTGGTGACGATGTTCCGGCGTTTCGTGGTTTGCTTTGCCTGCCTGTTACTGGTTGCGTGCTCTGGCCTACGAACAACGACTAGGCACAATCCTTGGGATGATTTTGAAGCGAGCCTCGCAACGCCTCACATTCGCCGGTCGCGTTGCCTCTTTTCCTGTCCAGGGCCGTTCCCGGAGATTTCAGTTTCTTCGGTCGTCAATGCGAGTTTGTCGTCCGCCTCGATTAGGCAATGGGACCGTCGCTTGGATGTCTGCTTCCACGCATTTGCTGACACAAAATAAATGAAAAATGAGAAATGAGAAACAGGGGAGAAGAGAGGGCGCAAGGACCAGCTCGTCTCGGAGATGGCGAAAACAGCTCGAAAACAAGGCCAACTCCAAGCAGCGACGTGCTGCGATCGGTTGTGCCGAGCAAAATAACACAGCCTTGTCCGTGTGTTCATGCACGAACAGTCATCAGATCCATGTGTTCAGGGGGACTGGCGGCGTTCGTGTCTATGTGTCGTTCGTCGTCGATGATAACCGCTGCCACGTTCAACCGCTTCCGTTTTCATCAAAACGCAAAACCAGGTAAACTGTGGACGGTGAAAAGCCGCTAGCAGAGAGGCGAGGCCCCAAACGGGGCCCAAATAAATTCCAGACCCCCAGCAGGAGAAAAGTGGAACCCTCCAATCGCAGTGTCCGCGTTTTGTAACGGCCAACGGGATGCTCCTTCCTCCACTGCTCCTCAGCGGGCCTGGCCTTCTGCGGGAAGGCGCGCCGCTGTACCAAAGAACAGCATCGCAGTGTAATACTTCGTATTTGGGTTCTCGGTCTGTGTGTGCCATATTGCAGTGGGCATAACGCAACTGCGGCCGCGATCGAGATTCGTGTTTCTTCTTCGACGTACATGTTCCGAGATGAGAGTATTTCTCGTACAGTTCATGCACGGTCATACTCTGTACAGCCACCACCGCCAGCTCAAGACGCCTTTCGGGACGCAAAACGTGTCTCAGCTCAGGCGGACGCCTCTGACGTGTTCTGTGCTACGAGGAATAGAGGACCAAGAGTCGAAAAAAGACGATTATAAACGAAAGACGTCGCAAAGCAATGAGTATGCGGCTCCAAAAACACAGCTGTTTCCCGTGGTTGTTTCCACCTCTGTTTTGGTACAGTGCTCACAGAACATCGCGTTGTTAGCGCGATGTGGCATGAGAAGGAAGGACTGTCGTTGACAGTTCCTTGAACACCTTTTGAAATTTCCTTTCCATGCATTAGGATTACGTTGTTCGGGAAGGCACATTTGCTCCAACCTTCCCAGCGTGAAACCCAGCCAGCTGACCCACGTTTTGCATTGAGGCTTATGGAAGACGCATCGAACAATTTTGGAATTGGGAGGTGACGAACGAATTACGTGAGACGGAAGGGCGAAAACGGGCTGAGTAACAGCCAAAACGTAAGAACCGGGTTTCGGGGTTGAAACAGGACGGATCGTTTCCTGCCGGAGCCGTGCCACTCGTTTTCGTCGTCGCAAATCGCAGTCGCAAATATACGTCATGCAGCAGGCAGGAAAGGCCTGACCTGGTCCCTGTGCCTCGTGCTTCGCGTAATATCTTCCCTCGTAGCCATTTCCTTTTCTGGCCATCACATTCGGGAGAGCAAGTGCGCGACCCAGAAACCGCAAGTTTCTGGTTTTCGGGCACAGCACATGGCAATACCTCTGATACAATTCACACGCATATCATACGTAGACATACACAGACCGCAGACGGCAGATCACAGAACACAGCACATGGATATGACCTGCGCCGCAGGGCTCGAATATGACGTAGTCTGTATTTATATTGCAGACGTGCAAACAATATTTCGTCATACCAATGCAACGGAAACGGGAGCGGCAGGAACCAGCGATCGGAAATTTTGCATTGTTTTTGATGGCCAGCCTGCTCTCAGTCGTACCCGACTTCAATGTCGTCCCTGACACTGGTGCAAAAGGCTGGGAACACGTTGGATTTCGATTCCAGTTCCTCGCGCAAACACTTGACGCAATACCCAGAGGTGACGAATCTCGGTCGCGTTTGATATGGTTTTCCGATCAGTGGTGTTTTTGTACAATGTTTTGCGTATATTCTTCCTTATATGTACGTAATGTGCACGTCGCCGCCACCAGGTTTAAGCCTTGCCAGTGTTGAGTGGACTGTTCTTGTCGTAGACATCCGTGGTGATCAACTCAGGGTACACGACGCCTCCCTGCCGCAGAGCTTCCTCCATCGTCTCCATGATGACAATGCTCTCTGACAGCGGCAGCGTGGCGCTCTCCTTTTTGCCGTCCCGCAGGCACCGAGCCGCCTCGTCGGCCTCCCAGAACATGCCGTGACCAGCCCACTTGGAACCCGGCCGCTTGTCCTCTGGAATCGGCACGTCGATCCACGGCACCTCGGACGCATTCGTCTCGTCCGACTTCTTAATCACCCGGTACGCGAGAGGCTTGAACGCCGGGCCCTGCACCTGGATCTCGCCGTCCGAGCCCTGGATCAGGATCGCCGGGGCGCTCTGCTGCTTCGAGCCCACCCCCGTGGCAACGCGCAACGAGGTCATGCCGATGCCCTGGCTGCGGTGGCCGGGGAACTGCAGCACCAGTGTCGTCGACTCATCGGCGCCGGTACGTGCGTACTTGTTCATCGCTGCCACCACCTGCGGCGCCTCCTTGTTGGCCTCGTCCTCCGACTGCAGGTGGTACAGGATCTGGAAGAGCCAGGTCAGCGAGTAGATGCCCAGGTCGAGCAGCGCGCCGCCCGCCAGGTCGAGGCTGACCATGCGGTTGTCGTCGGGAAACGTGAGAACGGACGCCGCCGAGCTGTCGGCGTTGGAGTTGAACGAATTGTCGGCCACGACGCGGTACACGGTGCCGATGGCGCCCGACTTGACCAGCTCGCGGACCTGGATACTGAGCGGGAAGTAGCGCGTCCAGACCGCCTCCATGAGGAACAGGTTCTTGGCGCGCGCCGTCGCCACCAGCTTGCGGGCCTGTGCGGCCGTCACGGTGAACGCCTTCTCGCACAGCACATGCTTGTTGCCGGCCTCGAGCGCCAGCATGGTGTTCTGGAAGTGGTGGCTGTGCGGCGTCGCGACGTAGACAATGTCGACGTTGGGGTCGACAACGAGCTCGGCGTACGAGCCGTACGCCTTGGCGTCGGCGCCCGCACCGACCTCCTTGAGGAACTCGGCCGCACGCGCGGCCGAGGACGACGACGCGGCAGCGACAATCTCGTGGCGCACATCGTCCGTGCCGCGAGCCGACGGGTCGGCCAGCAGGTCCTTGGAGAAGGCTGTTGGCATCCAGTGTCAGCAATCAATTGCCTTGTCCCGGAACAGAAAAGAGGCGAGGGGCGGAGCACCCAGAAATTGGGTGATCCTTACTCTGAGCGATGCCGCCAGTGGCCAGGATGCCCCACTTGAGCGTGTAGGGAGCCATTGTGTTTAGATGAGGATGTAGTCAGCGTTTGATGTTCGTTTGGTACGTTGTTGGATGGTGGTCTCCGAGTCGTCCTGTTTACAACGGGAGATTAGGACGTCGAGGAATTTAAATATGGTGACGAAAGCAGGTACGAAAGAAGCAACTCCGCACGCTGGTGGGGAAGCTGCCATCCAAGTTATTTCCCCCCGTTTTTTTCTTTCCTACAGTGGCTACTTCGTATATCTTGATCTAGCAAAATGCGGGCGCTCTTGCCCCTCTTTCCTGATTCTGAACGTTACATATTCAGCGACAACGGCACCACAAAATCCAATGGACTGTCCTCAGACTGACATCACTCACGCTAAGCTTGACAAACCAATTCGCAAAGACGCTACAGAGGTAGAGAGGAGAGAGGCTACCGCTACGTAGCTTTCGGTGCTATCCAACTACGCAGAAGACAGACACAGAAAAATTGATGCAGTGAGTGGGGTGGCGCAGAGCTCCAACTATTGGAAAGCACTATCGACCACGGAGCCGGAAGCACCTTCCCCGTTTTGTATGTCATTTATGCCATATCGGCAGCAATTCGTAGGCCCTAAATACGACGTCATTGGCCGAGATCTCAACTAAAGCTGACGCGCAAGTGATGCCACATAACTCTACGTCCAAGACGCCGACCCACCAGTTCCCACCACTCCCAGCTCATAGGGCTGCGTACACAATACTCTAGGCCCGCGTTGCTTTGGCACCAATACTTCAACCACATGGCCAGCTATGTGACGACCCGCGGCGGCCGGACTCGCATCCCGCGCCTCGTTTACGGCACCGCGTGGAAGCGCGAGCGCACCGCGGACCTCGTCTTTCAGGCGATCCAGGCCGGGTTCCGCGCCATCGACACCGCCGCTCAGCCTCGGCACTATCGAGAGGATCTGGTCGCGGAGGGCGTGCGCCGCGCCCTGGCCAGCGGCGTCGTCGCGTCGCGGAGCGATCTGTACATCCAGACCAAGTTCACGGCACCCGGCGGCCAGGATCTTGCGGGCCCCAACGCGCCGCCCTACGACCCGGCAGCGCCCATCGCCGACCAGGTCCGCGCGTCCGTGGAGTCCTCGTTGCGAAACTTTACCTTTCCACTACCGGATCCACAGCTGGACGCCTCAGGTAGCAACAACCCGAAGGAGACGAGCTATCTCGACTGCCTTGTGCTGCACTCGCCCATGGACACGCGGGAGGACACGTTGGCCGTGTGGACGGTCTTGCAGACATACGTGCCGCACCGGATCCGTTCGCTGGGGATCAGCAACGCAGGGCTCGAGGAACTGGAGGAGGTCCTGTCCGTCGCCGAGGACGTGGCCGCCGCCGCGGGCGTCTCGGCGGACACGCTCCGCCCGGTGGTCGTGCAGAACCGGCTCCACAACTACCGCCACTCTGCCGACCCCTACGACGTGGGCCTCCGGCGATTTTGCGGACACCCGGACCGCCGCATCGTCTACCAGTCCTTCTGGACGCTGACGGCAAATCCTACGCTGCACAATGGGCAGGTTGACTCGGGCGTACAGGCCGTCGCTGCGGCAGCCGGTGTGGCTCCGGAGGTGGCCTTTTATAGCCTGGTGGCGCTTGGACTTGGTCGTGGCAGCAGCGACGATACAGCCTGCCCTATCGTGATTCTCGACGGCACGACGTCGGCTACGCATATGGCGGCCGATCTGGCGGGGCTGGAACAGGTTGCGGCGTGGTCGCAAAGCCCAGAGGGAAAGGCGCCGTGGGAGGCGGCTGTGGCGCGTCTGAGGGAGACCATTGAGAGAGGGAGATGAGGCAAGGATCATTGATCAGATCGTTTTGATTCACCATTGTGCTTTTATGTAGCCCATGCTTTTGACGACACAATTTAATGGCTCCACGACACGACGTATTGTCGTATACTGCCTGAAAATACACCAAACGGGTGACTGGTTGGCAATGAAGGTGTCTTGTAGCACTGTAGGATTAAGTTTAAACAATGACGTTGAAAAGTCGTATTTGGCGGTGAGTTGCCTAGTAGTAGATCAGGTTGGGTGTGTGGACTAGTTCATGGTTCACGCTGTTGGTTCCCCAGAGCAAAAACAGACAAAGACGTTTCAAATCGCAAAGCCCCAAGAAAGGGATATCAGCGAGAAATTTCGAAAACGGCGTGCCAAGAAAACAATGGGCAGATTGTCGATAGTAATCCTGTTTGCCTCAAGGGATGTATCTTTGAACTCGAGCAAGTACTCACACAAATAGTAGTTTTCTTTGCGGGCAATATTTTTGACGTTCTCACCCCCATGTTTCAGAATAAGGGATCGCAATGGGGATCGTTTCGATTCGAGTTGAAACTCGTAATATTGCGCAGAATCCTGGGTAGATACATTTCTGATCGACGAGATTGCGGCACTCCCGTCAATGTTGATTGGCGTTATGCCGTTGTCAGCGACTTTAAATTTCAAGCCTCACTCACATTGCGACATAGATTTGAGCACTTCTTGATTTTGTCCGTGGTAGGTTTTGTTTGTATTGTTCAAGACCCGATTCAAGACCCTATGGCCATTTTCGCGTGCAAACGTTACAAAAGTGCCTTGATGTTTTAATCCACGAGTCCACGCAGAAGAGGGTTGAAAAAAGAAAAGAATAACTGGTTGTTTTCAGACCGGACCCTAGTTCAACCAAGCTGTTGTGTTCTATAAATATTTACAAAGAAATGAAAAAGAAAATTGGACAAAGGTGAAAGAGAAAAGAGGGTTTTCAAAATCTCAATAGATTGATCAAATGAAAAAAAGAAACGAAAATTCGAACATGAAAAAGATTGAACAAATGAGGGGGAAGTGTTCAAAAGAACGCAGAAGATCCAGATTCGGTTCCCCAAGTTTGAATACAACGAATGGAAATAAGGGTATCAAATGTAAATCTCATTCCCAGGGCAATGCGTCCGCGCGACCTGCGCTCGCGCCTAAGCCGAAAACCCTTGAATAATGTTGTAGGACGTCCTCTTTTGCTTACTCGTAAGCAAAAGTCGAGCCGTACGAGCTGAGGGTCGTCGAGGACGACAGCAGCGAGCCAGTGGCGGCCATGAAGTACGAATAGCGCTCGACGAAAGAGTAAGTCGGGTCAGTATCCATGGCCTTCATGACGGTCGCGAGGAAAGCGCTGATCTCCTCATCGCTACCAGTAGGGGCGAACTCGGTGATCCAGACAGGCTTGCCGCAGGCTTCATGGACAGCCACAAGGTGGTTGAGGAAGTCAGAGGGGTCTGGGGGGCTGTACCAGTGAGCGGCGCAGAAGTCGAAGGCGCACTGGCCGTTGCATGCCGAGACAAAGGACTTCAACCAGTCGATACCCTCACCCGGAATGTTGCTGTTGGTGATGGCAGGCGTGCCGATGCGCGCCTTGCCAGAGAAGGGGTTCATCAATTCAATGTGAGCAGACGCAGCGCTGGCGGGGTCCATGTTGCACTGGCCAACATTATCGCACTCGTTGAAGCTCAGAAGGCTGGTGGCCCCCTTGGCGATAGCAGCCGCAGCGTTGTCACTCCAACCGTCAGAGTGCGTGGGGCTCCAGAGCATGGGCACGAACTCGAGAGACTCAGGGGCCGAAACGTCGGCGATCTGACCCCAGTTGTAAGACCACGAGCACTTGGTGCCAGAGCCCAGGAGAGGAGTCAGAAGGTCACCAGAGTTGTAGGCAAGACCACGAGCACCCCGACCGGCGGAAGACGAAGACGGGACGGTGGTGGGAACGACAGCAGCAGAAGAAGACGACTTTGACGAAGTCGTCGGGACAACGGCAGCGACAATGCTGGTGGTAGGGAGCTGAGCCTGAGCAGCCGCAGCCTGGACCTTGGCAGACGAGATCGAGCTCGTCGAGGTAGACGAGGAAGACACCTTGGTGGAGGTGACGAGAGTCGTCGGCGTCGCAATCGACGTCGACGACGAAGACGAAGACGAGGACGAGGTAGAGGACGAAGATGAGGACGAAGACGTCGAATGAGTGGAGCTCGTCTTCTTCGTCGAAGATGTCTTCTTAGCAGACGTCGAAGTCGACGTAAGCCTCTCCGTGTGAGCACCCTTGTAGATGGCCTTGGGCGCCGTGGTAGTCGTGTGGGCCGGGGAGCCGTCCTCGTAAACGGTGACGATGGTCCAGTCGGTGACAGTCACGACATCGTTCACGTACTCAACGGCCTTCTTGGCGTGGTACTGGTTGTGAGCGTGACGGTGGGCATTGAGCGCGACGGCCTGTTGGGCGAGAAGAGACGCCACGAGGGCAACGATCTTGGTGTTCATCATGTTGATAAGGGTTTTTGCGTGAGAAAAGTTTTGGCGTTGTGAGAAAGTCTGGCGACGGGAATTCTTGAAACTGAAGTAGATCCCTGAGAATAAAATTGACAGACTTCTGTATTTATTGTCTTTCTGGATCCTTTCGTGTCTCGTCGTTCTTTGTTGTGGAACGGCCTTTGTCGGATGCGTCGTTAAATGATTGTTCTAACAAAAAAGATTGTGTCGTATCGAAACAGTGGAAATATGTCAAGTTGAACCAGTCGTGGACACACACAAAACAAGATGCTGGAAAAGCTGATGCTGAAGCTAGGTGAAGAGAATGTGAATCGGTTTGAAGCCTGTCGGTGCGTTTGAAAAAAAGAATGGAACAGAGAGACGCAGTCTATCAAAGACGCAGAAAGAGTGATGCGTGCTGAGGTGGTTGCTTGTCGACGTTGCGGTCTCCGAGAGAAAAGGAGCGTGAGTTGTTGTCTGGATGCTTGCTTTGGCAACGAACTGGCCTGAAGGACACAGCAGAAGAGACAAGAAGCAAGAAGGGAGGAGAGGAGAGAAAAGGTCGAAAAAGGTCGAGACTGGCGACCGAGAGAGGATATATGAAAAGAGAGCGGAACGGCTTGCGAAACCTGGATGTGAGAAAGGAAAGACAGCAACGACTGAACGCGTTGGGGGTGTGAGAAAGAAAAGAAAAAGGTTAAACAGAGGACAGGGTGTGGACTGAAAAAGAGAAGAAAAGAGAAGAAGAAAAAAGGAGTGAAAGGAAGTCGAAACGAAGAGAAAAGGACGAGAAAATATGAGGGCGGCGAAAATGCAGGAACGTGGTCCAGCCAGAAGGAGTAGGAGCGGCCGCACAAACAACACACACCCCACCTTGTACGAAGTACGGTTGTTGCCAAAAAGGGAGAGAGTAGGAGCGCAGGGAGCCTGGCCAAAAAGGGCGAGTGCGGTTCGTGTGGTCTTACGAAGTACGACAGCCAGGGCAAGATACAGTGCTGTGGGGCAGCACCGCATTCAGGTACCTTCCCCAAGGTGAGCCTGCCAGGGCCTTGGTGGTACTGCTATTTCTGCTCTGCTGAGTTATGCAACCTTTCCATACGAATGCACCCTCACGGTTGTTCTTTCCTCATGGGCCTGTCTTCTGTTCAGGTACCACCGTCCCCGGTTAATTGAGGGACGTTGTCAATAGAACCGCATGTGCTGCGGTGTTGGACCATGTTGGTACTCGCAGTGAGGGGCGTCTAAATAGCCGTAAATAGTTTGTACATTTTCTACATGCCCGCCTTCCTTTGTTTATTGAGAAAGTAATATCCCACGATGATTCTGTGTAGTGTCAGGGGAAAAGAGTCGAGGCAAGAGCGATCCAGGTACCAATCCAGGTACCAATCCAGGTACCACGGGCCAAAGTGGGGCATGTCCTATGGTCGTTTGTTTTCCTTCACACCAATTCCGAAAGCCCCTGAGGGGCGAAACACGTCTGGTCGTCCCTTCTTTCCTATCGACTCCGTAAAAGTTCGTCCATTCTCCAGCCCCACCTGCCACGTCTCGGCCTTTATTGACAGAAAGAACAGGTTCTTAGAATCACCGTCGAACCCACGTATTAGCCGGCCGCTTGCACCTTCTCGGCTTCTGACAACCCTATCGCGATATTCACGAACCAGGAAAGAGCACCTCGTATGTCACTGGCCACAACGGGAAGCCCCAACGGGCCCCAAATCGACCTCTGTCCTCTGCGTTCACCGCTCACTTCGTTTGCGTCTTTTACACCCAAAGTGTGTTTCGCTCTGCGCAGTGGCTTCCTTTCCTAGAGTCACGTTTGTACATCCTTTTACCCAGGCTCTTATGGTAGGCTCTCCACATGCTAGGATCCGTAGCCACTGGTCGGTCTGGACCTGAAAAATACGACACAGAAAAGTCGAAAAGACACCGGCGACCCGCTCTGGCCTCTCTTTCCCAGTTAGGCGCCCCGTCCGGAATGTCGTCGCAGTGTTAGCGTGTTTTGCAAGTTCTTGGGCGGCGCTATTTGGGACGGGGAAGGACACTACTGCGTAGGCCGGTCAGCTCGCTGTATGTGACGGGCGGCGTGCAAAAATATAGCGCCGTCAGAGCAGAGCGGGCCCCAGCACGAGAAAAGGTACAAGCAGCTGCTGCCCTGTCAAGGGACAGATCAAGTACCATGACCCTTTTTGTTTACTGCCCAGCCCCCACTTGCCCTTCCTTCCCGTTTTGACATTAACCCCTACTAGCGTGCGTTTCTGCTGTTTCAGGGGCCGCCTCACACAGACCGACTCCCACAACGGCAGACACAAACACAACAGATGCAGAGACGAAGAGCACAAGCCGCCCCCATTCTCACGACTTCTCCGCTGGCCAGGCTCGCAGGCTCGTCACCCCTGCTCGGTCAGCTAGCGGCGCTGGAACACATCGCCGTCGTTGGTAAAGTACATGCATGCTGCCAAGCCCCTAGAACACCTCTGCCGACGGGCCACGTCGCCACGTACACATGGCGTTGTCTTTCTTTGGCCCGCGGCAAAAACACGCACCGATCAGGTAATGGTATTGTCGTTGGTGTTGTCCGAAGCCTGTCGTCCGTCGTCTAACCCATCACATGTACCTTTTAGTGCCGCTATTGCAACCCAGTCGGGCCACTGGCTGAAAGGTGATGCCAACGGTCGACATCAACGGCGCGAGAGTTGGGTCCGTCGCTGGACCGCTTTTCGACGTACATAGCGTGGCCGCCGGCGTCGTCGTTGGCAATGAACGACGCTGGCCTGAATAAAAAGATGCAGAGTCGTGACGGTGGACCGGGGTAATTCCAGCTTGTGGAAGTGGAAAATATTATGTCGTACTGAAAACCGAGTGCAGATTCGAGAAAAAGAAAATGCCGCGCGGCTCGACATGCTCAGCATTTTGCCCAGCTTGTGCACTGGTCTGTGTCTTGCAGCAGCAGATATTTGAGAGTCGCCGGGTGGGAAAGACACTGGGTCGGTGATTGGTGGTGGAAGCACGCCGCCGTGCTTCACTTGGCGCTGGCTTCGAGTATCTCACGCTTACAAAGTATTTTTGGCTGTTTCTGCGAAACAGGGCCTATTTTCCTACCAACGGCCTCGCAAGTATCGCCCGATATTTCTGCTGCTTGTTTATGTTTCCTGCTTCCCTGGTCTTCGGTGTTTTCCGCCTACGATCTGTTCCAGGGTCCGACTGACTGAATCTTGTGTTTGCTTTTTTCATCTCTTTTTTCTGTTTCCTCTCTCCTTCTTCCTCCGGCGCTTGTTCTTTGTTCCGATTTGATTTGTTGTTTCTTTGTTTCATCGTCGCCGCTCCTTTATTTCCCTTTCCCCTGTCTCGTCAAGACTACTTCTTCGGACGAAACATCGAGCAAGAAGCCAATGGGTCAGACTGGCTGGGCAGCCCATCCTCCAACCGACCTAAACCCCTGGCCGGTCATCATCAGCCCCAGGCCCGTTCGATACAACACAGCACCTTTACCCCAGCCTTCAAAGACTGGCATGCGTCCACGCCGGTGCCTAGCAGAGAGCAAGTTACAATTTCCGACCATCGAGACCTCACAACAAATAAAGCCGGCATCAGAGGTCGCGGCGGCTTACGAGGCCAGGCTCAAGACCCTTGCAGAAATACCAACACTCCTGCAAATAACAGCGAAATGAAGAGATGGCGTGGGTAACGACAACCGTCGCAAGGTTCGCGCCAACAAACAGAGCCTGATTGGGACTGGTGAATCGATTTGCAAAATCACCAGACTGGGCCAACCCACACGCAGTCAAACAAGAGATCGAGAAAAACAAACAAGCAAGTTATCGCCACGCAGGTTTTTCAAGATTGCGTCGGCGTCCCCAGACCATAGCAAAATACATGGCTAGGCAAGGTATCTTTCGCAGATTGTGCTCGGCGGGCCGGCGTCGTCAACCTGGTGTGTCTATTATGAGCATACTATACGCGGCAGACGAAACATGTACTTGTACAGGCTAAGTCAACAACAAGGCCCGTTGTTGCAAGGGCGGGCACACGTAGGTACCACTACGTCAATGAAGATGCACGTCGGCGAGTTTAAATGGAAGAAAAGCATGTGCAGCTTCTTTCTTGTCATATGCGAGCTTTGGAGCGTGGCATTCTCAGAATGGGAGCTGCAGGACAGAGCATGCCGAAGTCTACAAAGAGAAAGACTCTTATATGAATCGACACCGAGACGGACAGCGAAAACAACAAAGAGGCGCAAACAAGGAACAGTCTGGGCATATGTCGTACTCCTCTTCTTCTTTTTGTTTTCCTTTTCTGCCTCTCTTCTCTTTGTCATCCTTCCTACAGCGGGTCGCTGGATCCTCCCAACCCCTGTCGTGAAGGCTGGCCAGCCTAGAAACCTGTCATCCAGAGCCAGAGCCTGGCGAGAATGGTCTTTGTTGGCGTGATGCCAGGGGGTGTTTTTTCTCTTGCCTCCTTTCTCCTCTTTTCCTCCTCCGCCGAGACCGTCGTTTTGCCCTGCTGCCTTGTGCATGTTTGCGGATCCCGGCCTGCGCGCTTTTCTTTCGGCCAACCCAGAACGACGGTGCATCGAGGCGGGGCAGTCCAGGCCGACAAAAAGCCACCCAGCAAAATCACGGGCTTGCATGCCTCTTCGTTTTCTTTCCTGTGCCTCTCTTGGCTGCAGCTGTAGCGGCGGGCCTTCGGCCTTGGGGCTGGCGTCCACCGTCTTTGGCGTTCTTTTCGCTACATGGAGTACGGAGTATGTCGTGCAACACGGTCCTTTTCGCAGTGGCTTTCTTTGTGGCTGCGCATGCTCGACATGGTTGACTTTCTCTCCGGTGGTGTACGTACGGAGTAAGCCATCACTATGCCACCGGTCCTTGTTCCTGGTTCCTTGCAGCAAGCTGCAAACCCTTGGTCGGACGGATTCTTGTCGCGCAGCCGATTGGCCTATTTGGTCAACTGCACCATTCCCCTGACGCACGACTCCTGTCTTGGCTTTCCTTTTTTTGCGTCCACTGACCTTTGGAGTG